ATACTGCCCACCTTTTGACTGAATGTGGTGATACCCTTGTGTGGCAAGATAATATGCACTAAGCAAGTTACTACCGCACTCTTTATCAAAGGCAACATTTTGTATTGAGATATCACTATAGTACCCTCTGGGTTTGAGAATACTAAATCTCACTGTCCCTTGGAGCTTGGTTGACGAGGTGCCTCCGTTTCCATATTCAAAGATATGAGTCCGTCCTTTGCCAAGCTGGCTGAACCACCTTCTATCCGAGCTTATAGCGTGTCCAGCTCCTGTATCAACCACCCATAGATCATCAGTCAGGTTCAACTCCCTCAATTTAGAAAGATACTCAGGGTATCTTCTCCGTACCTCGTCATCAATCTCCATTGAGTGCATCGGTGCCTCATCTTCGCTTCCTTCACTCGCTGGAACACTCCCCTTGTACTCAAGTTCGTCGGCATCCTCAATTGCCTTGTTCAAATTGAGGTCGAACTTGGCAGCTTGAGCTGGGGTCCTTTCTTCGTCTTGGTTCACCTTCATCCTCTTGGTAGTCGACTTGCCCCCCTTCTTGACCGTCATCGCTCGCTTTGTTTCGGTGACAGGAGCCGCCCGTATGTTTGAGCGAAGCAGCTTGCCTCCAGCCCTTTTCGGGTTGCGGTCAGCCGCCAACACTGGGCAGGCCTTCTTCCAGTGGCCATCTTCAAAGCAGTAATAACACTCGCTTACTGCCACTTCAGAGGATTGTCCTTGGTTCCTTTTCTTCCCCGTAAGCTTTCTTGCCGCATTGACAGTCACTGGGCGTCTCTTATCAGTCAGCATCGTGGCCTCCGTCCTCGATCGATCACCGAAAACGCGGCGAAGACTCGTCTCCACGTTTTCAATAGAAAACCACTCTTCAGTCATAATGATTGTGCCTCCCCAAAACTCGCTTGGTAGTAACGCCAACACTTCCATGCACAACCAGGTCTCGGTCACCATGTCCTTGCCAACCAGACCCCTCATCTTCCTGTTTATGTCGTTACGCAGCTTCTTTAACTGGGCGAATAGGGCCCCCAGATTGGTCCAGTTCGCTGCGAGAAGACGCTCCCACTGGCGGCGCAGCTCGATTACGCCTCCTGCATCCCCGAGCCCGTACTTTTGCTCGAGCTCCTTCCATATGTCACAGGGATTCATTCTGGACACTTGATCCGGCAGCCCACTCAAGAAAACGTTAGGCAACGCTTGGTTGAATAAGTTCAACAGCTCGGACCGAGCCCTAGTCCAGTGTTGGTGGCGTCAACGCTTGGCCTTCGCCTCCTCTTGAGAAATATTCCCCTCCACCGAAATGATGGGTTTCTCAGGCGTACCCTCAAGGAAGTCCATCATGACAACCGTAGCCTCAGGTTGGTCCTTTTCCAACAACCCTCGCTGGTATTTCTCATCCAGCGTCTCTATGTGCGTTAGCACCTTGTCTCGCCACATGGTGTAGTCCTCCCCATGGAACTTTTCCAGTCCCAGGACCTGGGCACTCCTATTGTGTCCTTTAACCATGGGCCTTAGTCTCCGTACGTATCTGAAATATTAAGCTCTATGTAATAGGCCGTCAGTTTCAAAGTGAGGAGGCCTTTTAAAGCGGGCGCGCCACGCGTCCTCCTCGCCATTAACATCCCTCGGCAATGTGTTTACTTATTAAGTTTCCTTAAGAAGTAGGATGTTTGAACCTTTTCTATTGGCTACATATTTGACCAATTAAGGTGCATTCTAACATGAAGCAGTCGCCAGACCATTCTTCATCAAGTAGGAGGGTGTTCTCAACAAATTTGGCAGCAAACACAAAAAAAGAAACAGCTGCAAAATGGATCTGCGGGAAGCCCAAGAAAAGCAGTTTGTGGACCAGATAGATTTATTTAAGAAATCGTATTTGAAGAATGAATGCTTATCCTCACAAATTCATCCATGCACAATTTGCCCAGTAGTGCTACCATTGATAAGGCGATTGATAGTTGATGTAGACTCTGAAAAGTCTTTTTTCGTACCTACATGTATCAAAACTCCAAAAGAAAACAGGAAAAAAACTATATTTTCAGTCCATGAAATGTGCACCACATCAACTTACCCCGTTACACACCGGTAAACCATTGTGTTTTTTACCAAGCAAGGATCGGACGCAACAATGGCATCACCTGCGCCGACAGACGCCGCCGCACTGGAGAGCGTAGTGCTGGCGGCGCTGAGCTCGCTCTACCAGCCGCACGTGACCAACCCGCAGGAGACGCAGGCAGCCGACGCTTTCCTACGAGGCTTCCAGCTCACGCCCGCGGCCTTCGACGTGTGCGCGTCGCTTCTAGACCAATTGTTACGGGCGCGACAGAACTCGGAAACGTTACATTCGGACAGCGTCCCCGCCGTGTTCTTTTCGGCGCAGACCCTGGCCAATAAACTGCGACGCCAGCCTTCGACGTCCGCCTTAGACGCCGGCACTTGGGCCAAGCGGATCGTAACCTGGTTATCCTGCGACAGTCGATTACCAAAGATGGTGGTTACGCAGCTTCTGCTTGCTCTTGTAGCGACGTTACCGCGTCTCCAGGCCCAGGACCTCAAGCTGCAAGCCACTCAAGACGCAGACAAGAGCGCCAGCCAGTTGTACGCGGTGGTTCGGGAAAGTTACACCCAGTGCAGTGGGCAAAGTGTACTGGGGTACGCTTTGTTACGCTTGGTCCAGCAAAATGTAACCTCCACAGTCTTGGCCGAGTTACTGCTACTTGTAGTGGAAGAAGTGGACACTTTAGCCGAACGCAGCGCCAGACAGAGAATGCAGGACGAGGTGGACGCCTGGGCGCCAGCTGTTCTGGACCGACTGCTGCCTCAGGTGATGCACGAGGCGAGTACCCGAGGAGTGGGCACTTGTTCGGACAGCGTGGAGACCCAGGAGACGGTGCTGCGAGCTCTGACGAGCTGGCTACGCTACGTGAGAGTGGACGCCGAGGTGGTGGTGCGTAACCCATTATTACACTCGCTACTGGGCTTTTTGGCTCGAGACGAGCTGTTCGATGCGTCGGTGGATTTGGCTGTGGAGCTTGTGAGATCTTATGCTAATAATAGTGTCGTGGTGCAGTGGCTCGCCCCGAGATTATTATCTTTGAGAGGATCTTTTGGCTCTGCAGCTGACGCGGAAAATGTGGACGCGTGTCTGGGCCTTTGTAGGATCTTCACTGAGATGGGAGAGGCCTATTTGGAAATGTTACTGGGGGCAGGGGACGACCACACGGCGCTGGTGGATTTGTTACTGGACTGTATGAGTTATCCGGACGCTGAAGTGGCGGATGTTACGATCTCGTTCTGGTTCCGACTGCTGGAAGAGCTGCGGCGTCGTGTTACCCCTGCGATTCTGGCTCAGTACAAGCCCAGACTCGAGAGGCTGGCAGGTCTCTGTATGCAGAAGCTGCAGTTCCGAGAAGAATTCCCGCGTCTACCGGCAGATAAGCAGCAGGACTTCAAGGCCTTCCGTCAGGAGCTGGGCGATATCTTACGCGATTGCTGTCAGTTGCTGGGCGTCGAAGCAGTTCTCCAGCACTGCGTCAACGGACTGAGCCAGATCTTCCAAGCGCCGGCCGCGTCGCGCAGTTGGGAGGCCGTGGAGGCTCATTTGTACTGCTTCCGGTCGATTGCACGCGAGGTGGAGAGACTCAAGACCAGCGCTGAGGCGCTGGACGCGCCTATTTCGCTCATTTTCCAGCACCTACCGCAGTTCGCTGACCACCCTGCGATCTGCTACACGTCGTGTCTGATCGTATCGCGTTATGCCGAGTGGCTACGGGCGCATCCTTCGTCGCTGTCGACGCAGGTGAGCTTCCTGAACACGTGCGTGACCAAGAGCGCGGGAGATGCTCGATACGGAGAGTGGGAAGTGGCCAGAGCGGCGGCGTGTGCTGTGCGAGCACTGGCGATGGACTGCTGGGCGATGCTGGGCGCAGATATTGTCGCGTTCTACCTGCACATTGAGCAGAAGGAGCTCATGGGTGTTGAAGACCAAGTGTTGATCCTTGAAGGGATCTGCGCTGGCGTGGCGAGCTCCGATGATCTGCCGCGTACTCTCTCTGTGCTGGATCAAGTGATGAAGGGCATTGGACAGCGCCTCGCAGCTCTGTTCGCCTCCAGCTCAGCCAAGAGCCAAGTGCAGGTCGCACTTAACGAGCTACTGCGGTTAATGTGTCTCTACGAGTATCTGGACGTGACGAAGCTTGACGGAGAGAAACACCCGCTCGTGATGCTGACGGAGCAGTTGTGGCCGCTGATTAATCAGATGTTGGCTCTGTATCGCGGCCACGACGAGCTGGTGGAGCGTGTGTGTCGCTGCTACAAGCGCATTCTTCGCACTTGTGGCGACCACATCGCGCCCTTGTTGCCTCAACTTGTGGACAATTTGCTGGCATTCTACCAGGCGGAACCCAAGTCTTCGTACCTGTACACGGCCAGTATGGTGCTCAAGTTCTTCGCCCCCAGCAGGTCGACAGAGATGGAGTCTTTGTTCGCTCGAATGCTCTTCACGCTCATCGAGACGACGACGCCCATTTTCGCCAGTGTGGACGACATGGAAGCGCGTCCGGATGTGGTGGAGGAGTTTTTCTTCCTCCTGGAGCGAGCTGTTCGTTGTGTGCCCCAAGTGCTGGCTGCTGTGCCCGCAGGAGGCTCGAGTTGTCCGCTGATGACGAGCGTCTTCTCGTGCGCTGTGTCTGCGCTCGCGATCTCGCACAATGACGCCAACAAGGCGGTGCTGTGCTTCTTGGAGCAAGTGTATGTGCAGTCTTTGACGGACAACGCGCGTGTGAAGCTCGTGTCTTTGTGTATGTCGAACACGGCAGTGGCCGGAGACAGCAACAAGATGCTGGTAAGTTTTCTGCTGCGAGGTGTAGTGCTCGGTGCCATGTCGCCTTCAAGAGTGGACGCAGATTACGGCTCAGCAGCGGGGGTTTTAGTGCAGCTAGCGAAGGTGAACGGGCAGCAGCTGCAGCTGTGGATCGCCGAGTGGTTTGAACAGGCCACAGCAGGAACGTTCGCGACTGCGGCCGTCAATTTCCTCACGTCAGACGAAGCGCAGGAATTCCAGAGCGACTTGTTCGGTGCTGCCAACGAGCGCGCGTTCCGACGGACTGTCCGTCACTTTGGGAAGCTCTGCGCTTCTCGCAACACATCACTCAAGGACCGCGAGCGCCAGTAGGCTACAAGGAACATAAATCGTCAAACATAGGTAAGCAAGCACCACTCTTGTCTGGGGATGCAGGGATAGCGCAGGACATGTCGAGCAGACTATTGGGCATCTTGTGAGACCTTGTATTGATCCTCTCTATATTCAAGAAACAGGTTGTGTTTGCTTCCCCGTGTGTTGTCAGAACGCTCCACTTGGCTGGCCTGCAGCAGCGCTCGAGGTTCTGGACGACACGTGCAGGTCGATGGCGTAGGTGGACTTGGCTTCTTCTTCCTGCACCGACGCTCCGTCGCCTACGCCTCCGTAGTCCCACGCGACGCCGTCCTCGTAGCCGCCAGCGTAGCCTCCATCAGTCCACAAGCTGGGGTCGTACGCGCTGTTATCACCCCAAGTATACGATGCACCCTCCTCGCCCACTGGCTGTTCTTCGTCCTGAGCTGCAACGTAGAGGTTGTCATCGGAGCTGGGAGCCCAGTCACCGGCGTTGTAAGTCTCCGTAGCGTCGTACGTTGCCGGCCAAACAATGTCGCTTTGAGCTGCTTCCAGCTCCGGACCAGGTGCAGACAGTTCAGAATCGCAGGGTTCCGGGGCTTGTGCATCTGCGCGGTCCTCTAGGATCGCCGTTTCTGCGACTATGACGACAGCATCTGACGGGGCAAGTGCGTCAACGTCCGTAGCGCCGTCACCACTTGCTGCAGGCTCATGAGAGAGCACTTGGCTGAGATCTGCAGCCTGTGACCCACTGATCCTCTTAGACGGCGATGTGGTTGCACGTCGCGATTCCGGTGCTGCTCTGTGCTTGGGCTCTGCAGACACCACACGTCTAGTGTCGCGCTGTGGTGATGTGGAGGCGTGAGCTGTAGCGGCGGACGCATGTCGGCCGGATTGACGGACGGGATCAAGCTCTGGAGTCGCTGCATCTCTGGCCTGAGCTGTGTCGTCTTCTTCCTCTTCCTTCTTCCTTGTCGCGGCTAAGCTGTCAAGGCGATCAGTTAGAGTGGCCAGTTGAGCCTGCATGATCTCGGAGGGACAGCTATCGAAGAGTTGCTGGGCTGAAACATGGTGCAGCAATCCAGCGAAGACTCGACTGAAGAGACCGAGCAGCTCGAGCATCAGTCGGTCTTCGGTCTGCTGCGCCGCGTCCCGTTCGTTGTTGACGACGATGTCGCTGACTGATCCATTTGCCGCTGCTTCCGACACTGTGAGAGTGAAAGGAGAAGCCGAGAGTCGAGCTTTGGCCACTCGAGAGACTTGCAGCATCCCCAGCGGCTGCGCTGTGTGTCCCCACGGCGAGAGAATCGGAACGAGGTACAACCCACGAGCGCCGCCAGGGATGTCCACAGTCTCGTTAAATGCCGCCTCGGCTGAGGGCTCGGAGACGACGATGGCTGCTGCGTCGGTGCGTAGCAGGAGAGAACAGAGCGAAGCTTGGGCGGTCACGTAGCGGCGAACGAGAGCAGGATCGTTGCCGTCGTCAGCTTCTCGTTGGCCCACGTGCCACAACTTGAGCGCAGCAGCGTCCAGCACGAAGAGACGGACCTGCTTGATGCGCAGACAGTCTCCCAACTGCTGCTGCGCCACCGCTACCAGCTGCACTAGCGATGGGATAGATGGATGCTCGGAAGACGGAGACGACGTCACAGCCTTGGCGACGATATCGCTCGGCAGCTGCAGGATCTCGTGCGTTTTGTGGTTGATTTTCTGCAGCGTTTTCGTCACGGCCGCCTGACGCAGCAGGATCCCCGCTTGGATGGCCAGCAGACTGCCGAGAATCTGGTCGTTGGGCGAGAAAGGCTTCTGGTGGTTTGTGTTCCAAGCTCGAAGCACAGCGAAGACGCCGAGACGGTTGCTGTCGCCACTGTGCACCGCGTGCGAGGCGAGATAAAGTTGGAGCTCGTGCACAATGGGAAGCGCCAAGACTTCCCGCGACGTTGAGCCTGTGACGGAGTCTGTCGAGCTGTAGAACCGCGGATCGTCGTTGGCGCAGTGCACGTTGCAGAGCGTGTTGTGTCGTGCCGCATACCCCGCGATTCCTTTGTCCAGCGGCAGCTCCCAACGCTCGATGCCGCGTTCAGAGCATACGGCGACCAGCTTTCGAGTCGCGTGGTCGACTGTGAAGAGAGCGGCGTGTTCGCAGTGTAACAATTCGCACACTCGCTTAAGTAACCTGCAGGAACAGAGTGTAAGGGATGAGTGCGACTTAAAGAGGGGAGGGGGGGGGCGGGGGCTTTTTGAGGCAGGGAGACTCACGTCTGCAAGACGGTGGGGAGGTGAGTGGAGCAGACGACGTGGATGCAGCTATTGAGCCACTTTTTGAGCACGACAGACAAGTTGATGGCGTTGGTGATGCTGAACTGCGAGTCCACTTTCTCCAGCACCTTCAAGATGTTGGGGTCGATGTACTGGTAGGCTTCGGCTGTGACGAGATGACTGGCTGCTCCGAGAGCTGATGTCTGGACAACCTGCACCCTTGTCGAGGATCCTGCTCTTCTCGGAGTGGACGATGCGACGGATGCTGGTGATGACGCGCTAGCGGGTCGACCTTTGTGATTGTTGTCGCCCTCGGGGCGTTTCTTTTGCCTGGTGAAGCGGGAGACTTGATCGATGTCGCTAGCCGCTTCGTCAAAATCATCTTCTCGACTTTTGGCCTCGCTCATATGCTGCAGAGCTTCCATCTCGGCTTTCAGACGCTTAATCTTCTTGTCTTGGGTAGACGTGAGGGTCTTATCTTCGGCGTGGCGAGCCTCTAACACCTGGACAGTTTTAACAAACAGGATATCAGAAAAGTAATATGCTTTATCGGTTGAGCGGCGTACCCGAAGCTTACGAAGGAAGTCTTGGTTCTCCCGTGCTAACGCCTGGAGAGCGCTCTGCTGGGCTGAGGAGTTCTCCAGAGGGTTTTGCTGGTCCAGGAGCTTCTGGAGATTCGCGTACACAGCAGCGTAGCGTGCTGCGAGTTTGTCGTATTCGTGATGTTGTCGGAGCACAGTCTTGTCCAGCTCATCGATGCGAAGTTGCTGCTGTGTGGTGTCCACTTGAAGCCGTCGATTCTCCCGACTGAGCTGCGCAGTCTGCTTCTCGGCCAAGTGACGATACTTTGTTCCAGCTGAGACTTCGCGTTCCAGTACCAGAAGTCGCTGCTTTAGGACTGAAATGGCATGCGCATCCTTACACAACTTTTCCTGGAGAAGAGGATCCTTCGCGGACAGCGACACCGCAGCCAGTTCATCGCGTGTTGCTTGTCGAGTTTCATTCTTTTCCACACTTTTCAGCAAGGGATCAGAGGTAGCAACAGCAACAGCTCGGGAGTTGACAGGTAAAGGAGTGAGTCGGGTGCGTTGTAACATGGTAACATTTGGACTGCCCTGTAGAATCCGTTTCTTTGACGAGCTGTACACACTTGCACTCAGAGGACTGGACATTGGCAGGTCTGGGGCGGATCCACATCGATTGAGCACGGAAAGCTCCACCACTTGCTTCTTGTTACTTGTAACTTGATCATCCTCCGCCTCGGTCTCTTTTCGGTCTTCATCAATTATTTGAGACGTAGTTGGCGGAGTGTTGCTACTGACTGGGGCACTCGACGGCGTCTTGAGTCTCAACTTTTTCTTGCGTTGTCCTGACATTGACAAAAGCTGAACTCCATTGTCGTCACCCTTACGTCGTAAGTTAGGAGGACTTCCGACACCTCCACTTGGTGAGATGACACTGCAGCTTGACTCGTGGATGATGAAGAACGATGGAGAGGAGGAGAAGGATTCAGCGTTATTGGCTCGATGCTTTTCATGTACGGTGTCCTTTGAGGAGTAGCGAGTCTCGCCCCGTTCGGGACTACAGGAGCTTGAACGAACAGGCATCGCCGGTCAAATTGCAACGTGCGAATCGGCTATAATAGTAACAACCAAGCACGATGTCCTCCACTTTTTTTCTGTCTCAAAACAGTGGCTTTAAAAGGATGCATAAATAAAAGAAAACGCACAGAAGTCAGAAGAGTTTTGGATTAATGAAGAGCTTCGTACACATTCACTGTTGGAGTGCACCGTCCAGACGCGCAGGGCTTCATATATAAGCTTGATGTCTCGCTAGATCAAGTGTGTCGTCATCAAGAATGCCTCCGTTAATGTAGATGGATGCAAGCATGCCGACCTTTTTCACTGAGATACAATTTCTCTTCTTGTTGTGGATGTGGTCAAAGATACTGAAGGCCCGTTCACTAGCTGCCGACGAAGTTGGTATTGCGAAGACGATACCTGCTAGTAGCGAGAGCTTCTGATACATAACATTTTCTTGAGCGTGAATGGACCACCAATGACGCGGATTGACTCCAGCATATTGCGCTCTGGTCTCCCGAGTCCAGCGCTTCTTTTCACTAGCAAAGTTGTACAGATATCCATTGAGCTGCGTCCAGGTAAGCTGTAAGCGCTCGAGAATTTTACTTCTCTCAGCGTAGTCGCACGCTCCTTGATGATTTCGGCTTCATCACCATCAATATATTGTTTCGTGCCTGTATTCGGATCCAAGAGCAACGCGATACTGATCGCGTCGGTCTGACAGTAGTTTCATCGGTACTGGACCAGTGCTTTGAACTGAGCACGATCCTCTGTCCGCTGCCACTCGGGAACCTCGTAGCTCTGCCGATATTGACTGTCCCCGCGTCCACGACCGACCTCGCCCGTTCCCTCGACCACGACCGCGACCACGGCCGCGACCACCAGCTCCATCATTTGAGCAAGTCATACATGGTAGCTCTCCAAAGATATGGTGAGGAGGTGAATTGGCTTCACTTCCCGGCAAGCTTAGTGGCTCGTCCGAGTATCCCTCCATGAGCCACCTGAACCTCTTGTACACGCGTGACGGCCACGCAAGGTCTGACTCCAGCACACCTAGCGCCTCGATGATAGGATCAATTAGCGCTACCGCATGTTCCAAAAAAACCTCGGACGCAATCAGTTCTTCCACGTCGGCTGTCGTAAAGCTATCTCGCAACGACTTGTGGCGTGCTGCGCAAAACAAGTCATCCAAGACACGACGATTGAGTAGTACGCTTTTCAGACACCCATGCTGAGTATACCACCGTGTATTTACTGGAATCACCAGTGCGCGCCGCTTTGCACCACGCGGTATCATCGATTGCTGTAAAACTCGAAATTGCTCTAGAAGCCTTTCGTGATCCCGTACCATTCCAGTAATTCTGTAGGCTTTTTCTTTCACATCGACGACAAAAGCAACTTCACTGAATAGACCCTCAATCACCAAATTAAGCAGCACAGCCACCACCAAATATGAATAGCTTATCTTCCAAAAGCTCCCAGGCTGCGGTCATATTGCTCGCGTTGTCCGTCAATACTCCTGTGATAGCTGCTCCAGTTTGAGTTTGGATCTCTTTGATGATTCTCTCTAGTACGGTAGCCAGATATGCTGCTGTATGCTTTGCCGGTCCCATGTCAAATGCTTCCCACAGAAAAGACTTCATTCCACCTGCTACCACCATGAAATTGATGACGCTTGTGCCATTACAATTCGTCCAATAATCGGTCACAATCGAAACGACTCCCTGGAGTCTTATCTTGTCTATTACAGCACTTCGGACTTGTTCAGCAACTCTCTCCAATAGTAAGCCGGCAAGTTTAGCTCTAGCTGGGAGTGTTAAGTGAGGAGCAATTCTGGCGAACAGCATAACTAAATCTGGCGCTTCAATCAACAGAAAAGGTAGTGAGGAAAGGAAGAACACACGCGCTAGCAGAAGCTCAAACGCCTCTTGGGTCACAGGACGCGTAGTGGATGCTGCTTGCTCTGCTGTTCGAGCTGCTTCTCGAGCGACTTGTCTACCAGGTTCAGATGGTGGTCGCATTTCTGGATCAGGTAACGCTTCGTCAGGTAGATGGTAGGCTTTTCGCTGAAGGTGCTTCTCAAATGGAGGTAGCATTGAGCACTTGAGAACATGCGGTAGCATGTTTCGCTTCGGAAAACCAGCGCCGATGCTTGTGTTGCAAAACACACATTTGACGGGCGCATGAGGCTGCTGTCCAAGCTTCTCGAAGCATCGCCAGACGGCTCCACGCTTCCTTCCCGAGCGGACATCTTCGTCTTCGGCTGACTGGACATGAGCTACAAAGACCTGGCTGGCAGCACTGGTCCCTGACTCTGATGAATCTTGAGCCTGTTGGACGTCTGCAGTGTCTGCTTGCTCGTACTCATCATCAATTCCGTACGAGTAGTCGTTGTCTTGATCCAGATCACCATCATAACTGTTTTGGCGCGCTCTAGCGTCAAACTTTGGCCCCATGGGACGGGTACAGCTCCGCTGAGGATATGGAGACCAACGCGGACGCGGTGCTCTCTGACGAGCGGTTAAATTTCTTGCAGTTCCACCCGCTTAGTGTGTTCGCGAAGACGGACAGCGGCGAGTTGAAGACGACTTTGAGTGATGGTCGCTCCTCGGCTACGCCGAGTGGTGACCATTGTGATGAAGGAAGTAGTCGTAACAACAGTAAGTTGCAGGGACTGAAAGTCCAGCAGGGGAGAAAACCGAGTGCTGCTGCTTGCTCTTGACGGCGCAAGTTGTCGAGTGTGTAGCAGCACACGGAAAAACCCCGGTAACATATATTGGTAGGATTAGCAGTAGGATGGGGCTGGCGGCTCGCCAGCCAATGGTCCGTCGAAGTCCGGCTTCTGGACGCGAGCATCGCGTCCTGGAGGCACCTGAGCCTCAGGTTTGAGCTGGACGCAGTCCTGGCTCTTCCTCCACACTTCACACTCCCACTTGATCTAGTCGAAGCGCAGCTTCAACGTGATCACCTTGTAGAGCTCACCACGATGTCCTTGGCATCTTCTAGCTGCGCTGCAGCACGACGCTTCGTCCTTGGTAGCGCTCTTCCTCCTTCTTGTCCTTCGCATGCATGAACTGGTAGTAGTAGCTTGCATTCACGCATGGCGATGATGTTTGGCTCCCACTGAACGAGCTGAGCCTTGCTGACGGTCGATGCGCAGCACCTTCATCCCATCACGGCAATGTTCGAACTTGTCCTTCGGCAATGGCTTCGTCATCGCGTCGGCGATCATGTCGTCGGTGCCAACATGGCGAATCCGTAGCTGCTCGTCCTCCACGAGGTGGCGCACCAAGTGGAACTTGTTCATAATGTGCTTGTTCTTGCTGTGCTTGCCAGGCTTGGCAGTCAGATAGATGCACGACTTGTTATCGCCGATAATCTCCGGAGTCGCGAGCTCCCAGCATAGTTCTTCACAGAGTCCACGTAGCCACTGTAGATCTCTAGTGCCTTCATTCATGGCAATATACTCTGCTTCCGTTGTGCTCTGTGCGTTAATCTCTTGCTTTCTTGATCCGTACGAAACCACGTTACCATTGACGAACGTCACGAACCCGCTAACACTCTTTCGGTCATCAGGGTCATTAGCGTAGTCAGCATCGGTGTAACACGTCAGCTTGACGTCGTTCCCAATAACAATGTCCATCACTAAGCCGTGGTCTTGAGTACCACTCAGGTAGCGTAGCACCCTCTTTCCCATAGCGTAGTGTGTGTGGTCGAAGCAGGACAGGTACTTGCTGAGATTACGCACAGCGTGCGCAATGTCCGGCCTTGAGGCTGAGACCAGATATTGTAGTGCACCAACGAGCTCTCGGTACGGGGGCGGGGAGTCATCTTTCGCATTTGTGACCACCTCAGCGCGCAGCGCTTCCGGTGTTGCAACCGCGTTGCAACCCTCCATGTGAAATCGCTTTAGCACCTCCGTAATATGTTGCCGCTAACAAAATACCGCATGTCGACGCTCGCTGTCGATCAGTATCTCCACGCCTAGTAGATACTTGACTGGTCCGAGAGATGTGAGTTCATACTCCTCACTGAGTTGCTTAGCAACCTTAGCGCAAAGGTCACTAGGGCCGAGGAGCAGTAGGTCGTCGACGTACACCGTGAGCAACATGGTGACTTCTCCTCCCACTTTCCTGGCGTAGAGTCCGTAGTCAGAGTCGAGGCGCTCGAGTCCGATCTTCGTCAGGAACTTGTGCAATGTCTTGTTCCAAACGCGAGGCTCTTGCTTTAGCCCATACAAACTCTTCTGTAGCTTGCATACGTAGCGCGTAGAGTCTTCTCCGAAGCCTGGAGGCTGCTCCATGTAGACCTCCTCGTCGAGATCACCGTACAAGAACGCGGTCTTGACGTCGAACCGCAAGATGGCCCATCCGCGTTGCAGCGCGTATACGATCACGCATCTGATCGTCTCAAATCTGATAACAGGTGCGTATGTTTCACTGTAGTCGATACCCATGCGTTGTAGAAAGCCTCTGATCACTAGTCGAGCTTTATATCGCTTAATCCGGCCCGTAGAGTCTCTCTTGAGCGCGTACACCCACTTGCACGAAATGACACGCTTGCCCTTGGCCTCCGTGCGTCGCACGAGCACCCAAGTTTCGTGCTGCTGCTGTGAGTCCATCTCAACTTGCATCGCTGCTTTCCACTCCTTCCACTTCTTTGACCTTGCCGCATGCTTGTGACTAATGGGGATCTGCACATCCTCGACGTTCTGCTTCGTCACATTCGTCACTACGTAGTCCTTGAGTCGGGTGGATGGCTGTCGCTTCCGCTTCGGTCGCGAGGTAGCTGCACTGTCGTCTGGCGACGACTTCTGCGTCGTGCATGGCTCTCAGTTCTCGTCTTCGTGAGCATCACGTCGACTGTCCTTGGCCTTCGAGGCTCCCACTCGATTTGCACATGCTTTCGCCTTATTCTTGCCCTTTGTGTTCTTCCGCTTGGAACCTCCCACTGAAGCTGCTGGCTTCTTAGCGTCCTCGCTTGGTAGCTGTGGGTCATCACTTCGAGTCGCAGACTCGGCTTCAACTTCAACACCTTGGTCCTGGCTCTCACCAGCAGTAGCCAGCTTCGCCATTTCCGCTGCTCGCTTTTCTGCAAGCTCTGCAGGAAGCTGCAGGTACGTAGACATTGTCGTCCGGATCGGCACGATCGGGATCTCCGCAGGTAAGTCGTAGTCTCCGTAAGCGTAGGTGTTTGCAAGAAGCTGCTCAATATACACAGTGTTCACCGTGTACTTCTCATGTGCCTTCATGTTTCCATCTCTGCACGTCGTCACTGATCCTGTGCGCAGGTTCAGCAGCTTATAGCCCTTGGTCTTCTCGCTGTAGCCAAGTAGTAAGCACATCTGCGTCCTTGGAGTGAGCTTCTCCTTTCTCTGCCGAGAATCATCAGGGATGTGCGCGTGCACCAAGCACCCCCACGTGCGCAGCACGCTGAGGTCTGGCCGCTCTCCGTACAGGGCCTCGTACGGGGACTGCTGGTCCTTCAACACCGGCGTCGTCGTCTTGTTGAGCGTCCCAATTGCATGTAGGAAGGCTTCTCCCCATAATGAAACAGGCATTTGCGTAGCTTGTAACATAGATCTGACCTGCCGCATGGCGGTCTGGTTCGTGCGCTCCACGATAGCGTTCTCCTGCGGGCTGTAGGGATTGGATGAACGCGTGTCGATGCCGAGGTCCTTGCAGAAGGTCTCGAGCTGCATGTTGACGAACTCGCCACCACCATCGGAGAACAGCGTCTTGATGGTCGCCTTCGGGAACTGGTTCTGGATCCAGCGAATCTGCTTCTGAATCAGCTCCGTGGCTTCGTCTTTGTAGGCTAATAGATATCCCCACTTGTATCTCGTAGCTTCGTCGATAATCAATAGAAACTGGTTTGATTTCGATATTGTATCCACTCCAACACTGCATAGGTCGACACAAAGCTTGTGCTAGGGCTTTGCAGAGCGAGACGGCTTGCGCTTGTAGCTCATGCGCTTCGTCTTTGACTCTAAGCATGGAATGCATTCATCGAGAGCAAAATTCTTCGACTGCATGTTGATGCCAAAGTTATAGGTTCCTGCCATAGTCTTGATAGTCTCCATGTTTACGTGGCCCATGCGGTTGTGCAGCAACGTCATGGGGTTCTCCGCTTCACTGGCCTTGACGCTCATCACGTTCTTGCTCTGACGTGGCGTCCACATGCGGTACATCCCGCGGATGTACTTGAAGCGCAGCTTCAATGTGTCCTTGACCAGCCACGTAGTCTTCTGATCATGCGAGACGCGCACCTTGAAGTTTCCTTTGAATTGCATGTAGGTCTGCAAGATCAGGTTGTAGGCAGCCGACTTGGCGTAGCTCACGTCATCAAGGAGGCGCTCCTCGATCTTGCCCGTGTGCTCGTTCAGCACTTGCATAAGCATTGTGTCCACAGTTGCGCGCTCGGCTGTGCCGTTGCCGAAGACTAGCTCTGCAACTGAGTCTTCGTGTAGCTCCGTAAACAAGGTAATTTTGCTCGAGACGTTGGTCTGCGCGCCGCTATCCAACACCCACTCCACCATGTCCTGGTCCTTGTCCTTGTCCTTGTAGTTGAAGTTGTCACGCACCGCGAGTACATGCTCTTGTCCTTCAGCTTGTGTCGGTGCAGCCGACTTGGCTGTCTTCACAGTAACCACATCGATCATCCTGCGCGGCGGGTTACTCGAGTTGTTGTTGTTATTGTTGCCACGCTGGCGGCACTCAGGATCGCCACTCCAATGTCCTTGCTCTCCGCACGTGTTGCACTTCGTCTTCGCCTTTCGCTTGGCGATGTCATCCCTCGCACTGGATGAGCTCTTGCTCTTCTGCCGCTTGTTCCGCCCACGCGGCGATGAGCTGCGGCTGCGACGACTGTTTCGGTTGTTGTTGCCTCGTGCTTGGCTGCTGCTCGAGTTTAGACTTCCTCTTCCGTCGTTGTGTCCGTCGCCACGGCCACCAACAAATGCAACATCTCGCTGGACGGCACGTCTACCTCCACCACGTCCTTGCTGTAGTTCAGTCTCTTGGCGTGAGTGGTCAGCGAGTCGAAGGCGCTCGATCGCTTGCTCCCACGTAATGGACTCATCACGTCCAATACGTACTTCATGTTCGTTTACCACCGCTGGGTACACACCCACTGTATTCGACAATAGGATAGAGACGGCTTCCTGCTCAGGCAGCTGCTTGTTCGCGCGGCGAAGTCTCTGTTGGTAGTCGTCGATGTCACGAATGTAATCGTCAAGTCTTTCGTCACGTTGCAGGCGACGATTCAGCATATCTCGCTTGAGAAACACGCTGTTTACTCCAGGATGGTTATCAAAATGATCTTCCAGTGTTCGCCACAGTAGGATAGGATCAGCACGTTGAATAACACTTGTAAATCGCATCTGTAGTTCTTGACTAAGTCCCATCGTAAGTTCACGTTGAGCAACACGCAGTCGTTGCTTGAAACAGCCGCGCTGTCCTTCGTTACGTTGGTCTGCCATCGTTTCGCGCTCCATGATGGGGTCCAAGAGGTGTGCGACGTCGAGAATGGAACAAATCTCGACGCGCCACGTCTGGTAGTTGGTATCGGTAAGTCTTGCGTTCAACTGCACGTGTCCGCTCTGGTTCATGCACCGCGTGCATCTGTGGTCTCCAACCATGGGTTCGTCCGTAGCGGAGTCGGTCCCGGCCTCGGTCTGGACTGGCTGCGCTGCAGCCTCGGACGTTCTTGGGTTTCTTGGCGGCTCGCTCTGACGCGTGCTGGCGTCGGCGGTAAGTTCCTCTGTGCTTGAGTTTCCTCGGCGGGGCCCGTACGGCGTCGGCACTCGCTGCGGTTGTGCTCGAGCCGCTGAGAGTTCTTGAATGAGCTGCCTTTGTGGGCGTCGGGTGGATGCTTCCACTGAATGTTCTGCACTTGCTGCTGATTTGTCAGTGTAGTCATAACGGTACCGAATTGGGCCAATAAGAGCTCGAGTTGTTGCTCAACTCGGGTTGCTGACGCTTGTGACGTCGCATGTGCCTCGTCTGATGTTGTCTCGTCTGCTCTTGCAGGCAACTGCAACTCGTCGGACGCGCGCGAGCTCTGCGTACTCCGGACTGGGCTTCCAGCTCTCCTTCTTGGGCTGATAACCTGAGTGATGGTCGCTCCTCGGCTACGCCGAGTGGTGACCATTGTGATGAAGGAAGTAGTCGTAACAACAGTAAGTTGCAGGGACTGAAAGTCCAGCAGGGGAGAAAACCGAGTGCTGCTGCTTGCTCTTGACGGCGCAAGTTGTCGAGTGTGTAGCAGCACACGGAAAAACCCCGGTAACATATATTGGTAGGATTAGCAGTAGGATGGGGCTGGCGGCTCGCCAGCCAATGGTCCGTCGAAGTCCGGCTTCTGGACGCGAGCATCGCGTCCTGGAGGCACCTGAGCCTCAGGTTTGAGCTGGACGCAGTCCTGGCTCTTCCTCCACACTTCACAGACTTCTCTCGAGGGGTAGGCCGCCTGGTAGGCGTGGCAAGCACTTTAGTCGGCGAGGATATGGACCGCATTCTCGCGCCCAGCGTGAGCACGGGGGCGCCAGGTTCGTTTCCCTTTTGCTGGTTTCCTTTTAACTCAATCGAACCCTTCGAACTTAAATGAATAGGAACAATTAGGAACAAATGGAACCGTTCTGAGCGTTCTGATCAATTGGAACAAAAGGAATGTTCTGAACAAGGATTGTTCCAAACCAGCACTAATCACTACCAGCAGCGGTAATGATCTGAGCTTTTGTTTTTGCAAGCATGTTGAAATTTAACCACTGCACGACCTTGAGACGTCCGTTTCTGTCTGCCAACGCACACGATAGGTTTGCGATAAAGCCATTTTAGTGTGCTCAAGTGCCCTTGCAGATGTAGCTCGCTCGCTTTGGGCCGCCAGTATTATCTGCGTCGGTCTCTTTCAGAAATAAACTTATTTTAATGTAAAAAGCACTGCTAAAAAGGTAAATACACATGGAATTAAAAGTAAAGCTCGGGGGCATCATCAGCGTAATCTTGACAAAGCATTCTCACGTTGAGACACTGACCAATCATATCCAGGCGGAATGCTTGTTACATACTTCAAGGACAACATAGTTGAGCAAGAAGGCCATGTAGCAGGTTTCCATTTTTGAATTCGCTTCAAGACACTTACCACAAACGTAAATCATGGTAGACAGTCATGAGATCTGCAACCCAAGACAAGTGAAGCTGCGGGGTTTCGAGCGCCTGGTCACTATGGTCGACAACGTCTCCATGGAGATTGTGCACTCGATGCTTGTCTGGAGACGCAAACGCGCTGCTCCGGTTCCTGCCGACTGCACTCGTGCGAACTTTCAACACGCACCCTCGAATGAGAGCATTGCAAGTGCAGGGTCAAGACTTTGTCGCAGAAATCCAAGAGCTCGTGAGCATTGACGACATCAGCACCAAGAATCTTCTGCGGGTTCAAGCTTCCCATGACAGCTTCGACAGCTGGCAGAAGTACGCGGAAGACGAATGCAACGTCGGTTTTGACCGATACACGCAGCTTCCGTTCTTTTTGACTGTGTGGGTCGATGAGGAGGCACAGCACGCTCGCTTGATGCTCTTTTCGGATCACTTCATGTCGGACGGGTATTCGGGTATGGTGGTACTCAACGACATTCTTCAGCAGATAACCTCCCTTGCGACCCAAGTGTTACCTGTTCAAGCTCAAGAATTGCCACTGCGTCCTTCCTTTTACGACCTGTGGCTGTCAAGCAAACCACTGTCGAAAGCTTTTATGAAGGGCGTCATCTCGTTTTTTGGGAAAGCAATCTTCCACAGCGAGTTGACTCGATTTCTCCCCGTTCTGCTAGCTCGAGAAGACCAACACGACTTTGTGGTGCCCCCTCTCTTAAATCCAACCACAGCCTCCTTCGCTGAGGGCGATCCGACGTCCATGAAGAAGACTCTCTCCAAGTGCAAAGAAGAAAATGTCACTTTTGGCGGTGCCGTCGTGTGCGCTACCCTCCTCGCATTCTATCGCGCAGCTGAAAGCCTCCCAGATTTCGACTCAGCGCAGCCTTTCAAGCTCATACTCGACTTGGATTATAACATGCGACGGCGTGTTCTCCATCCAGTAGAGGAAAATATCGTCGGCACTTACGTCACCTTTGCTCATCTGGGCCGGCTGGGTCGCAAAGGTGTCAACTTGACCACTACCAAATTCTGGGACCTAGCGCGCCAAGCGAAGCGTGATATCGACTCAAAAGTCAACCAAACGATGCCCCTCACTGCTGTGCCCATTATCTTTGACCAGCAGATCAACGCCAAGATACAGCCGTCATTCACGAAAGCTCTCAACATTCGCCATTCGCAGACTTCAGATGTCAATCTCTCCAACGTGGGGCACTATCCGTTTGCCAAAAAGTACCGTCTGGAGACACTGACAGCAAGCAGAATCTGCTTGAAGTCGAGACTCTGCACGTTTACAATTCGATGCCACACCTCGGCCCCTCAGCGGTTCTTTGGGTATCGTCGGTATCCTCGTTTTGTTATTCCATGGGACACAAGTGCGAGGACGACTCAGCTAAGACTCTCTTCACTGCGTTTGTAGCTGTCTGCGAGAATATTGGCAGTATTAGAGCTGAGGCCTCCATGGCAGACGTACTGGAACAGCTAGAACTTTAGCCTTGAACTAGCTTTTCTCCTTTTTTATATAACAGGCGATAGGAAATATCGCTATTAAATCTGGAAAGTGCTGGCGGTGTCTGCTGACTTGGAGGTTGTGTCAGGAATCGGGAAAAATAAAGATAAATATAGCGACGTGTCAAACATGCTCTCGAGTTTAATGATGATGACCTTCTCCTCATCTTGTTATTAGGACCACCACCAGTTGCAATCCTGACTGCGCGGATACCTATGAAGAGATGAAGAAAAGCAATGATTATTATCCCCTTGTGGTTAAGAGATTTAGCTACCGGTGATGCCACCACTGCATTCGCCACTTCGAACAGATTACTCGAAATTTACTGAGCCAGTCAAAGCGAAGAATGGTATCAGGCTTTGATTACTAGGCTAAAACCAATCGACAAAACTATCTCTATGATTGCTACTTCCTCTATCCATCACTAGGCTGGTACCTGCGAACAAACTTGGCAGGCAAACGCTTCTCTTTGAACGCCCCAACGATGTGGACAACATCGTAGAAAACGTTCTTCCCGCCGTTTAGATTCGGAACCACCTCCACACCACGGACACGTGCAACTCCACCAGGTTTGTTGATGCCGCGCCAGTCTCGAGCTAGCACTTCCACTACGTTTCCCTCGTTGAAAACATGCAGAGGGTCACGACCTTGTTGCCATGCATCCACCGCCTTCCCTTCGTGATCACTGTCGTCACTTAGCTCGATCTCAAGTCGTCTCGCACATCGAGGCTCCTCTGCGTCGAAAGCAATCGCACTTCGAGGACTGCTGCCTCGAGTCACTCGAGCGATTTTGGTGTTACTAACACAGGCACTGGCTGAAGTACTGGCGTTGCTTCCTTTACGTTTCCGCTTTCTGTTGGTCTTGGACGACGAGATGTCGGTTGGAGCTGTAGTCGTCACTTCTGCCGGTGTCGTGTCCTTACGGTTACGGTTTACTCTCGGTTGAGATAAGCGCGGTCTTCCACGTTTACGTCGAACCGGGGAGGACGCTGGAGTTACGCTTGGAGTTTCACTGCTTGTGATTGCCGTCGACAGGGCACTTTTGTCTTTGTTCAGATGGTCTGGGATCTCAACGAACTGACCCATTCCCGAGGTTTTCAGATGACGAGGGCACCACGCCTGATAGTATGGATCTCTGGTGAGAAGGCCGTTCACGAAGGCACAAGCCACGTGGTAGGCGCGCACGCACTTCCTGTGTGCGCACTGAATTTTACTTAGTCCCTTGCAGCCGCCACAAATGGAGCACTTCAGTCGTCGACGTTCGGGATCGACGAGGTTAATGCCATGCACGACGCCGTCTTTGAAGAACGTTTCAGGAGTAAACATTGCGCACTGGGGGTGCACGACGCTGCCACTGTCCGTGCCGGTAAAGTCTCCACCACTCAGTTCGCACAGAGCGCACACCTCACTGCCCTCTTGCTTGAGCTTGTTCACAAACATGCCTCCAAATGAAATATCTTCGTTGTCGCTGTTCTCCTGTTCGCTGTCCGCCTTGGCTGCGGCACCAGGTTCTTGGCCACCCTCATCTGCATCACTCTCCTCATCGCTGTCGGCGAATTGACGCTTTGCAGCTTGGAGCTCCTGGTACATGCGTTCATAGTTACGCCATTCGATATCCTGGAGCATCTTCTGGCGGTATTCCTTCGATGCGTATTCTTCCTCCATCTTCTTGGTAAGCGATTTAAAGACCAGCTCATTGGACTCTATCACAGCACGTAACTCAGTCTGCAGAGTCGTCAGCTCCGTCTTGATCTCGTCCTCTTCATCTTCGTTATCAGTGTCATCGTCGTCTAGTTCATCACCGGCACGATCCTCCACGCTTAGCAGCTGTGACGAAAAGCAGTCGTTTACTATCGCATCATCCGCCTTCACTGAAAAGTGGCGATGCAGAAGCAGCTCTCGAGCAGATAAATCAGGATTCGAGCTCTCTGTCTTCCGCTCGCAATGCACAGCTTCGTTTTCTGTTGAGAACTGCAACTGGAATCGTCGTCGCTTGGGTGGGCTGTCCATCTGAGCGTCGGGAAGTTCAGTGACTTGGTCTTCCACTGCCGTGCGACTTAGAGCAAAGACTAGGCTTACACTCAAGGTGTCAGCAGCCTCTGTCTCCTCAATATCCTTGGTGTCTGCCTCTGGTTCCGACTTGTGTCTTCTTCCCGTAGATGTAGAGCTGGTCTCCTCCTTCTTATCAACTTCGTCTGCGTCAAGGTCCACGACGCTGATGTACTTGCGCTCCACGTTCCTGTCGCTGCCACTTAAAACGTACGCAACGTTGTACGTGAACCGCCTTCTGCCGTTCGCTATTATTTCTTCGTTCACCTTCTTGATTCGACCTACACCACCAAGTTTGTTCATTCCAGGCCACGTGCGCTTCGCCACGTTGACTGTGGTTCCCACCTCGAGGGGAGTGTCTTCATCCAGCTCTGTTTCTGCATCTTTCGGTTCACTGGAGACGCCCATCAGGACGTCAGACGACAAAAATTGCTGCTTTTGCTCGCGAGTTTTCCGAAAATCCACAAGATACGCTGGCATGCGTTTGCGTCGAGGCATCACCAGCAGCTCATGCACCTGTTCATATTCAGGATGAGAGCGACTCAGTCGCACGCCACACATTTCCTCCACTCGCTGCTGCAGCTGCGACAACGTGCGCTTGTTGATTTTCCGAAGAAAAAAAGCAGAGTCGAGTGACTTCCAGAAGAGATTCATTGCAAGCTTGCCGTCCGACCGGAGAAATACCCACGGCCAATCAATGCCCAGGGAAACAACACCGACATCGCCTTCGCGGGTATTACTGACCAGCCCGAAAGTGGCTTGTGGGCTCGCAAACGGAGTCACGAGCTGCTGATCTCTGGGCTTTGGTGTACTTGCCGTGTTTATCGGGACCTGCACAGGTGTTTTGCCGCCGGTGTGCGCAACCTGAGCAGCAGGGGCCGTAGACATTTTATTCTTCCGCTTCGTCCGGAACCAGCACCGAGCTGGTAGCGAAACTGCAGGCACGACTTCTTCTTTAAAACTCTCGAGATCGGAGCCACGTAACACCTGGTCGTTGAATGCGAAAATCTCGTCGCCATCTTGAATAACTCCACGTTTTAGAGCCGCATTGACGGCGACGTTACGCGTATTACCCGCATGGAGATGAATGCCTTGTCCTTCGTTCGAAGACGTGATTCCGAGACCAAAAGGTCGACTGGATATCATAACCATTACGTATTCGAAATCTCGGTCGTCGATGTGGTCCAGTTTGCACGCCAACGGGTAGAATGCAGGTATAAAGACGTTGGATTGGAGTACAAGTCGCATATTGGTGTCAGCACTCTTGTCACTGCCTGATGTTGTAGGCAGCTGGACGGAAGAACTGGATCCTTCAACAGCCTCAAGATGAGTACGAGCTGAACTCGAGGGTGTCGGCTGTGTGAAAGTATCATCTGCTGCCGCAAACGTAAGCTTGATTTGACGCCTACTTCTCGGTCTGTTGGATTGTTTCTTGCCACTGCTCCTCAGCGGTGGTGCGCCTAGAAGCCGTGGCGGCGACATCTTTGTTGGTGTTGGCTGTGCCTGTTCCCTGTGATCATCTTTACCAGGGTGATCGTCGTCCGAAAGCGAGTCTTGACTACCACCGTGGTCACTGTCGCTATCCAGATCGTGTTCATCGTCCTTTTCACTTTCACTGCCACCGTCGTCCGACCAAGAGTTCCGTCGTGATGTCTTCGAATTGGAGTTTTCTTTGGATTTCTTCACGCAGCTCTGCTCAACATCAGATCCATCGGTTCCAAGGAATTTGGCTTGGTGTTTGAGGCATCCGCTGCCAAATTGACCCTGCCATAAGCAAGAAAAACACAATAGTAATCAATCGAGTGAAGGATAGACACCCCTCGCCTATCACCCTGAGCTCTGGCCTTACCTGGTCTTCCAAATATCGCAGTTTAATGCCGTTCCTGAGCGCACACAACGCGTGGTATGCTACAGTGCACTTCCCCACCACACACTGCGCACAAGCTCCTTTCTCACTGCAACAACACAGTAGCACCCGTCAGCACCTGCCATCGCCACAGCCAACATACAACCAGCCACCCACTTGCTCTTCTTGCAGAAGCAACAGCGCAGTTTCCTCCGTTGCTTCAGCTTGTCCATGCCACACACAACCTGTAACCCGTCCAGAGGGCCCTGGAATCTCGACGCGTGCTTCTCCTGCACATACAGCTCGGGCAAGAACATGGAGCAGGCCATATGGACCCATCCTCCATCAATTGTTGGCGCCATTGCTCCTGCTTTGGAGCAGCAGGCCTCACACTCCAACTCGTGGGTGGGGATCAAACTCTTCTCGATATCCTGCGAGTCCATATACTGTCGACACGGGTGGCAGAACCAGTCTTCTTCCGGTACTGCAGCCAATCTGTAGCACGTCTGATGCACGGCCACGCCACACACTTCGCAGATGACGATGGGATCGTTCTCCAACGAGTCAGGAGCACAGCAGACGCCACAGAGCATCTCCTCGTCCTCTGTCTTCCTCTCGTTATTCTTAATAGACTTCACAGGGGGCAGAGGCGAGGACAGCGGCGTCGTAGCAGTGAAAGCGGCTTCCTGGGAGAGTGACAAACACTCCTCCATCTCCTCCTGGTCATCGTCCGAGTCTTCCTCCGTTTCGTCCGCATCGTCACCACTCTCCACGTCCAGTAACAGCTCCATGTCCTGCTCAAATTGCCGCAGTGACTCCAACAGGAAGCGCTCGCTACGACTCTTGAGTTGCTCCTCAATCTCGCGGATATTCTCACTCAGCAGTCCGATCTGGTCCTTCTCGCCGCATGTAGCCATCAGCAGATCCTTCAGCTCGCTAAGACGCTCCGAAACGACGGCATCATGCGCCTGGAAGCCGAACAGACTGTGCTTGAGCAGATCCTTGGCCGCCTCGCGTCGACGCTGCTCCATGCTCAGCAGTGCGGAATCAATTGCGGTATGACGGAGTGCGGAGAATTGCGCGCCAAAACAGGAGTGATGGTCAGACGTCAGTCACCCCTAATTCTGCAACCATCTTAGTGAGACCAAGTCCGATCCCTGGTCAGCAACTGGTTATTAGGTAGCGTTCTCTCCCTATTAAAAGCCCTCAAGCCCTGTCAAACATTGTATTAAATATTGTGAATTCCGGAGTGAATCAAAAATCAAGCTATTTGAAAATTGACAGACACAGTTACGGATGGTACCCTGATGCTCCATTTAAGTCCACTGTAGTATCTAATGTTAATATGAGCTTTAGTGAGCTCAAGTGTTTAAGCCGATTGGATCGGTTTTTGGGTCTACGTGGCTCGGCCCATTCAACACTTCGACTAGAACCCACAATAGTACCCTCCATTAAATAATACCCTCTCTTCTCCCTACCACCAGAAGTGTGGATGTCATTTCCAAGTATGACAGAGCGTCGGCAGTCAATTGATATCGACCGCAAGCAATAAGTTATGATTGATGTTAGAGTCACACTATGAGTGTGTGCCTTCGTACTTAAGTGCATACAAAAGCCACCACGCGGGCACACATAGGTGTGTCCAGAAAACAAAGTCTCAAAAGGCACACGTTGAGCATAAAGTACGTAATTTAAATTCATAAATTTCATCAATCATAGAGTATGCGCAAACATCATCAAATCTAATTGTAGCTTTAATGTAGCACGTACACTGGCTCGAAATGGAATGTTACGTGAGTGTACAATTGACTTAGTGATTTTTTACTGGAATGTCGTGTCAGCGTCACTACCCCTGTACGGAGGCCAATAGCGTTAAAAAAAATAGAGCTATCTACAAGTTTTATCGGCGAGAACCAAGGTCGTGTCTGTCGTTACGCAGTTTAATTTTCTTGCGGGAAACACATATAAGTAACGAAAAATATGACTTATGCAGTGTGGTGTGTATTTAAACAATTTAAACATGCAGTAACTTCAGCAAATACCGCAACCGAATATACCGCAGGATGGCCTTTGAAACAGAATCTAGAAGAGCAGTGCCGCGGACTGTTGGATTTCCCACGTGAACTCTAGCTACAAATGTAGTTAGGACGTTCCCACAACAATGCGTCTACTAGGATAGTAAACGATCATTCGGGCGGACCTGAAGACCCCAGTTCTGCCCTTGCACCGGGACAAACTGGACCTTGTAAACTACTTATATAGGCCAACCAGTAACAATAATAACACGCTACTAGCACGAGCAAAGCTAGCAGATGTTTTGAATCCTCGTGGTCCCAACAGCGGAAGGGTACCAGGTACGGGTAAGCCTTTTACGAGATCACCGAGTGTTCAGCACTCGGTTGGAAGAATAAAAGGGATGCAATACTAGCACTCCCAGTCGTGCAAATAGGCAACAATAAGCCGTCACGTAAAACCTCCCGATAGTAATCGGCCAAAACACAAAGTCTCTTGGCCTTGCCGGATGAACCCTCGCTACAAAGCTTCGAGTTCACCGACAGGCATAACACACTCAAACAAGCTTGGCCTGACGCTTACGTTGAAGCCGGACGTCGCTCTGTGTGCTTGAGTGGAAATTCTGTTCTGTATTTAAGCTTACCCTTTTGGGTCTATTCCTAATAAAAAGTCCTAATCAAATATACAAATATCAAGTGAACAATGATCCGTTATGGATCTTCTTGCATGCCAAGCGTCGTCTGCACCGTCGCATGAGCATCTTTAACGGTCCGCGCCCTGTCCCAGATGGTGTACGTGCCTTCCAAGGGTCGCTGAGTCTTCCGCAAACTCATCCCAACCGCCACTGAGGGTTCGTACCGTAGATGGTCCGCTGAATGCAAATCCGGCCAGTCCATTATTAATAATAAGGACAGCCTGGATTCAGTGACATACGGGCCGTATCCAATACCCGTTGAAAGTTCGGAAGGGACGCCGTTGAGTCCCTTGCACCTTGGCGTCTCCGTACATCACATGACCGAGGGTGCTGCTTTTGAACATCTTGGGCGGTGTCACGTTTTTGTCGACGGGTGATAATCCGCAACTACGGAGAAATCACTACACCACAACTGCCCCTGTCGCAATGGAGGCCACGGTACGGGTGCCCGTTGTGACATTTCTTCATTCTCCAATTCACCATCCAGTCACCGTATGTCCAATAGTTTGAACCGAGCCGTGTCCGACGTGTTTCAGCGTCTCAACCCTCGCCGATGTCGCGAACGTGAACAGCTGGAGGTACGTCAGCTCATCCTCTTCTTGAATCATCGGCGCCTTGCTCATCACCATGCATTACTCGTCTTGTTTCTTAGGAGGGAAAGACCGAGGGTTCGAACGCCCCTCAGTCTGCTACACCTCCCCTGACAGCAGCATCATCAGCCGGTCCTCCGGCGCTTCCTGCCCCGGACTCTTCACCCCCTGCGGTAGCTCCTGTGGTACTCCCTGTCGCCGCTGAATTCGCGGAGATGGCTCCTGCTGCTCCACCTGCGCCTGCTGGTGGTCCACCAACACTCACCGAGGATTCGCTGCGCGCCATGCTGGCTGAAAGTACGGAGGCATCGGTCGATCACATGATAACCTCGATAATTCCGTACTTGACTGCAATGGCTCGTCACCAAGTGCAGTTCAGCGTTGCGCCTCCTCTCCACGGCGATGTCCACACTCAACATCTCCTCGAGACTGCTGTTGGTTTTGATGACGTTCTCGCTGCTGTACAACCTCTTCCTGACGCGCTGTCGGCATTACCCGAACGGGTTGCCAACTTGGAGCGTCAGTTGCGGTTTGCTCAGTCCGAGGCTGCTGCCGCCGTACGCTCGGTGGCTCCCGAAATCATGGCTCATGAGAACGCGGAGACGTTCCCCAAGGCTGCCAACGCTGAGATCGAAGCTCTTCACCACAACGTCAAGATTCTCCGCGAGTCAAACGCCAAGAACGACGCTGTTCTCGTCAGTGTTCAAGCCACCATGGAGCGACACGCAGAAGACTTGAATCGTCTGCACTGCGAGGTCCAAGCTCGGGACGTTTTCATCAATACGTTGCACAAGAAGCTGGCTCGCGAACGCGAGGTGTACAAGTCTTCCATTGAAGCGAATTCCGAGCAGACTCGGAAGCTTCATCTCCTTCTAAGCTTGCCCAGGGCAAGTATGTTGATAACGACGCGCTCAAGGTCCTCGAGAACCAGCAAGACCGTAACACTCGCCTCTTCCAAGTGAATCGCACCCTCCGTGCACACGTGAGTCTGGCCGGGATGGATCCCGAGATACTTCGTCTGTCTGTTGATGGTACGTTCCTAATGTCGCTCTTTCCACCGTGTGTTCAGCAACTAACGCTCGTTCACAATCCTTCGTGATAGGTCTGACTGCGGGTGAGCTGGACCTGGACGCGCTGGACTTGGATCAAGAGACGTTGGTCGCTTTGCAGCGCATACAGTCTGCTGCCGCGTCCTCGGACGATCCTCAAGCTCTTCCTGCTGCTTTGGCCAAGGCCGCTCACCAAGTGGCCCATGGGAAGTCCCACAAGCGCCTTTGACCAGGTGGCGAGGATTCAGACGACGAGCCGGACGACTATGACGAAGACAAGGCTCCAATCTCGACAGACAAGGCCAGTACTTCGATGGCAGCTGCTGGTCTCGGTGATGCGCCACCTGCCGACGCTTCAACTCCCAAGTCGGATCGTAGATCGCTATTCGGCCCGAAGGCGTGGAAGAAAGTGGCCCAGCAGAAGCGCAAGAAAACGCGTCATCACTCTCCTGCCAAGTCGCCTCGACGTCATATGAAGACTCGGTCCAAGTCTGTACCATCTTCTCCAAGTTCATGGTTGCCCCCTCCTACACCAGCGTCTTCTTCCACTCCCGCCGTGGTCGACCTCAGTGGCGACCAGAGTGACGTGGACATGGTGGATGCTAATCCAAGTGGTGTCCCATTGGTTCAAGAAATTCCCACAGAGTCTTCGGGTAAAGATGGGGATCTTGGGGATCACAACGATGTTCCTGGTCCTCCTGACGCGCCTTCGCCCCCACCTCAGGGTCCTCCCGATGTGGCCAAGCCCCCAGCTTCAACGATCTCTCCTTCTCCAGCAGACATACATGCCGCTGAAGAAGCTCTGCGTGAGGCCGAGCAATTCGACTCATGTTCGGCTCAAGTGATGAAGGTGAAGAGTCGGACCAAACTGTCCCACAAGGCAAGTCTGCTTCGGCGTCCGTTGCGACGTCCAAGACAGTTGAAGTCTCGGGAGTGGTTTCTACAGCAGGTCCTGCCCCCGTTGAAGCTGCTCCACGAGCCTCCGTGTCTTCAAAGCCGGCTCCGATTGTTCCGACAGCTGTCGTACCAAGCGTGTCTTCGCCCGCCTTTTCGATGGAGATTGATGACGATGGAAATGCTGATGACGATCGTGGAGATGATGTGGATGACAACGAACCTTCGGTGGATGATTCTCCTGATGCCCCCAGTGGTGGCGGTGATGTTCCGCCTACCGATCATTCGAGCACACTTGATGACGAAGATATCGAAGATTCCGACGGAAACTGGAGCAATCTTGGCCCAGCTCGTCCTCCGACTCCACTTCGGCCAAATCCTTCGCCGACGATTACGTCTCCAATCATAGTCGGCGGTCCGCCTCCCTCGTCACCGGCAAGTCACCAAGCACCACCATCTTCACCTCCTGTTCCGGTGTCTCCTCGTCCGTCTTCTTGTACTCTCGATGCTGGACCTGGGCGCATGATCACGGCCACCTACACTTCGGTGCCGCGTCGTGGTGGTGCACCGTCGGTTGAGCCGTTGCCTCACCGAGTGTTGCCAGGTGTTCGCCCTACGGTGCCGGCTTCGTCCACCTTGCCACCGTAAGTTCTTCCGTACGTGGACATGGAGTTTACTGACGCAGGTGCCAAGAAGTGTTTCGAGCGACTCTCGAGCTTAACTCTTCCCGAATCAGCTGGTGAGGTGACCGTACGTACAACTTTGGAGGGTCTCCAAGCGTACTTTGACTA